AGTGCATGATGAATGGAAAACAATGAAAATAAAACTTAGTAACGATATTGCATGACAAAAAAAAGTAGGGTAACGATATTGCATAATTAATACAATTACAAAATAAAATTCGACGGTAAAATTTTGGTTTTCTTAAGATATAATTAATAGAAATACTTATTCAAGTAAAACATCACAATCACAAGTTTCACATAAATCTTTTTCTTTTTTACGTCGTAATTTAGGTAGTATCATTAATCATTTAATCTACACAAGCATATAGATGTTTTATATTCAGATTTGATATTATTCACTAATTCTGCAAATAATATTTATTCATGATATTGATTTTTTGTCTTTGTCATTAATAATTATTGATAGAATTTGACTTAAATTTTTGATAGTATAGTATGTTTTTTGTCGTCAGTTGATAGTTGATATATGTGCTTTATTACGGATTGAATACATGTGGACGTAAGCCATATTACAACGAGACATACGACGAAGGTCACGAAGCCTAATCTCGTAATTAGGCAGGCAGGCATTTGTTGGTTGCAGTCTGCATATACTCCAGTTAATACAATAATGTTTTTAGCAGCATAACTGTCATTCTTTCAATTTTCAATATTATTTACACTTTTTAAAACAAAAAAAAATACTTACTTAGAGTTGTTTCTTAGAGCATGTTTATTCATGAACCAAAATGAGTATTATTAACAGTTTTTTATTATTGTTTCATGAGTTGAAACCCAAAATGAGTATCAATAGACTCACTCAGGGGCGGACTCACGTTGAGGAAGAGGGGTGCAGTTGCACCGGTTAAAATATAAAATGTTTTGATTATATATAACATTTATTGATCTAAAGTGGTCTAGTGGTAAATACTGCACCCGTTAAATATGAGGTGTAGGGTTCAATTTCTCTTTACAACATTTTTTGCACCGGATAAATATTTTGGCTGGATCCGCCTCTAGACTCACCCCAATGATACTTTTCATCAGATATCAATCCAAAATATATTTTTTTATTATTATTCATAAGATGATATCCACAAAAGAATCATGAGTAAACATGCTCTTAATTTACTACTACTATATAAATATAATTAAATGCGCCTTTGGGTTTTAGAGTACACACGTACCTGACAGTGAAGTTTCCAAAAATTTGACAGTCATACAAATCCATATCATGCATTAATAATAATTCGAGTCACCACCAAATATCAGCGGACCACACATTTGTATCGAACACAATTTTTTTTTTCGGTTGCAGAAAATTCAGGGTTTAAATTTTAAATACGAAAGGAATTATTGGAATAAAGAAATATGAGCACTGAATCATTTTGTTCAAACTCATTCTTATATTGCATAATTTTGCATGTAGTAAAGGACTTTATAAAAATAAAATAAAAATTACGTTTTCTACTCCAAATGGTGAATATGTAGAGGAACGCATGATAAAATACATACTTTAAAAAAAAAAAAGATAATAGGGAAATTTTGGAATATTATTTTATGTACTTATCGAGCAAAGTGGAAAAGACAAAGCCCATGTGCAATAATTCTGTTGTTTTTTTTTTTTTTGTTCTCTCGTGTCCATACGTATGCAAATTGCAAAGGAGGCGAAGAAGAAAAACCGTAGGGACCAAAGCTGCACAAAATGGCAAATAAAACGTGACATTGATTTTGTATCTGGTTGGTCGACATTCCTTCGATAGACTCTCAATTACCAATAAATCGAAAACCGATGAAATACCGATTTTAATCTTAAATGCTGCACCAAAAAAAAAAAAAACCTTGGCTTTGAACACGACATTTCTTTTGTTTTTGAGTTCGACACGCCCAAGAAGATCTTAGGCTTATGTGGAACCAACTCAACTAGTGTATTTTCATCCATAACTGTTTTAAACTTTTTATATATATTATTTCTGAGAACATTCGATTTTTGTTACGATTCAATTTTTTAGATTCTCGGATTGTAAAATACAAAACCAGTTAAAACCAATTAGTGTTTGGTTCAGGTTTTCACCTCTTTTTTGTTTGGTTTGAATTTAGTTTTTGCACGATTAGATTACTTTGGCAAAATTCTAAAACTCTATAAATGAACTGATTTACAAGGCGATCTGAATTTTTTATTTTTTTTTTAATTATTATTCAAGTTGTTTAAGCCTAAATCAAGGCAATGTAATTCATGATTATTGATCAATTTACTATTCCGCGACTAATTTCCAACAAAGTTAAATCTTCATTAGAAAAACGGTTTTTTTTTTTGTTGTGTAATTAACTAATTACTTATTACATATTTTTAAGAACTCCGGTTTCTATTTTCTACTGTTCTATTTTAATACTTAAATACAAATAGGTCTAGTCAATCCAACATATAATTTTGGAAGTTACAATTAAACACATACATGTCCCGCTGGCAGAGCTAATGTGAAGGGCCACGCAAGCCTACTAAATCTGGCCCATTAAAAAATTAGGTGGTCATACAGCTAGACCTTTTACACACGTGTCAGAGTAGTTTTTAGTTAAACTATCTCTCAATCGAAAAATTATAACAAAAAGAAAAATAAAAGGATTTATCCAAATAAAAAAAAAAAGAAAACGAATAAAACCTTTTCTAAGAAATCTGCGCAAAATGTGGAGAAATCCACAAAACCGAAAACCCAAAAACGGACGAAGCAGATTTCTTCTCTCTTTGGTATCAAACAGAAACCTCAGAGAAACAATGAATGGCGTCTCCTGCATAAACCAAAAGGTTAGCTTTTTCTTCATTTACGTCGAATGCTTGTAAAGAGCCCTTTTTGGCCAATTTAACAGAGAAATGATTTGGGTTTATCTTGAAACCAATAGACATTCAAAGTTTCATGATTTGGTACATAAAGCTAAGCAAATGATGATGATGGCTTATTAGATTCTTGTTTAGTTTGCTTTAATCTGATTAATGTGCAACATAATGGTTTCTTCTCAGGTCAAGGATCTTCTCTAGCATAAATGTGTGAATTAAGAACATCAAAAGGTTAGAGTTTTATGATTCCTGAATCAAGCATTCTCTTATTTTCGTTGTTCTTAAACATTTGTAGTTAAAAGAAGTTATTCTTGAATCTCTCTCTCTCTCTCGCTCTAGCTGATTAATGGCTGAGGAGACCGTACGTTTGCCTAATTCACCGGATGTAAACAGATCATGGAGAAGGATTTCTACTGGAAAACTGAGTTTTTTATACACTGAAGAGAAAGTTCTTCCTAATTATCTCAGATCTCCCACTGGTTCTTGTCATGATGCCTGCAAATATGGAAGGAAACATGAATCTGAAGATAAGCCAAAAGTTCCACATCGCAAAAGGGTTAACAGAAGCTTTTCTGGAACTCTGAATTTGGATTCACCTTTGAGGAAGAAGGCATTGACCAAACCGGTGTTGAATCCTTCTTTTGGTTCTGGTAAATATGATTCGGTTGGTGGCTCTGATCATGCGAATAGCGAAGTTAGAAACTTTTCTAGCGGAGTTTGTGATGTTAAGAAGAATCATGCAGATAGAACAAATAAAAAGGTAGTGCCTTTTTCTGAATCTCAGTTAGCTGACTCGACTAAGCGAAAGAAGAAGAAGAAGAAGAAGACGGTCTATGTGTCTCGCGGAAGAGCTAAAGAGATTGTTGAACATAACAGGCGTGTCACTGCTTTGAAGCTGAAATCTGTTGCACAAACTGCAGCGATTGCTCTTCGGCGCAGTACTGTGAAGAGAAAGAAGATGAATGGCGGAGCAGAACCAAAGAAGGCAGTTATGCCTTTAAGAAGAGCCTCAATGTCCTCAAAACGCTGTTCTCGATGCTTGAAGACAAAGAAGGAGAGTAATAGCTTGAGTGTTCCTCTAATGAAAACCAGGAAACGTGTAGGTGAGAAGTGTAAAGACTTGGTTGAAGAGAAAACTCTCTATGTGATTAAGATGGTAACAGGGGATGAGATTGTTGAATCTGAACAGAACCATAGGTGTGTCATGGATTCACCTACTGATGATCCAAAGAGCGAAAAGAGCCAAGACGAAGCTGAGAGTATTGAGGCTGAACCTGATGATGAATCTTCTCAAGAAGAGGAAGAAGAAGAAGAAGATGAAAATGTGTCTTTCTCTGAAGATAAGAGCACAACAAGGGAAGGAAAAAGCAAAGCCCTCTCAGCAGAATCCGCTGTAAATGGCAATTCGGCGAAACTGAGAATCAAAAGAGGAAAGATTATAGATTTTGGATTACAAGGAAGCAGTCCAAGAAAGCTCAAGTTCGAGAGAGGAAAAGTCGTCACAGGAGCTGACACAACCTCTAAATCCGGTGGTAAGAGACGCTTAAAGACCAAAGGAACCAACTTAAGCAACGACAAGGAACAACAACGCAAACCCAGAGTTGTTCTGAAACACCAAGACACACAGAAGAAGAGAGAAGCAAGAGTGTTGCTGTTCAACAAAGTTATTAAGGAAACAGCTAATAAGCTTGTGCAGACTCGCAAGAGCAAAGTTAAGGCTTTAGTGGGTGCTTTTGAGTCTGTCATATCTCTCCAAGAAAAGACTTCTTCTGCAACAATATAAACACATAAAAATGATTATAACCAGAAGAATCTCTAACTAAATAATATTTTATTTTTTCTTTCGCTTGTGTTTATGTATGTATGTATGTAAAGATATGTAGAGTTTGTAAGAGTGCAATGACTCACATAAGACTCTACAATTTGTGGGAGTTATTATGTGTAATCGAATTTCTAACTGTTGTCTTTCCAAGACTTGTGAATTGTGTGATTTGGATACATAAGAAGAAGGTTATGTTTAAGCTTTACTAAACTATGGTTACAATCTGTGAGTACCATTAAAATGTAGGGGTGAAAAAGAAATATAAAACCAGACCCCACGCTCACGCCGTCCTTTAAAATGCCATTGACTATCCCGATTCTTTAGCCGACGTGTCATATTTTTATTGGTCGTGGTCGTTTACTTCTATCACAGACTGTCACTCTACCATTCCAAGGACTTAAATTAATTTTCCTTTCTTCGCTGCTACATGGACTAAAAAAAATTAAAGCTTTGAGATTTCTTTCCTTATCGATTTCTCTCTGCGAATTGTTCGTTGTTTTCTTCTGCCACCTGATTCTCACCTTCTTTCTTCTGGAATCTGGGTTTTGTTTCGGAGTTTTCGAGGTTCCTCATTCGTTGCTTCCGTTGAAATTCTCTTTTTTTTTTTTTTTGTTTGTTATTTGTTGTTGTTGTTGTTACTTTCGACCTTTTAAATGCCCTAATTTTCAGGTTCTAGTTGTGGTTTGTGGGATTAGGAGCAGAAGCCCTTTCTAGTAAACTACATGTTAGCTGCAATTTGTTGAAGTATTCACAGTTTTGTTCAGGTAAAGTTCTTCTCTTCACTCTTTTTAAGATCTTTGTGTGTTCAGTTTGTGGCTTTTTTCTGTGCGTGATGTTTAGAAATGGGTTGTCAGGAGAAGGATTTAGGGTTCGGATTCACTGGATTTTCAATTAAAGTGTTGTTCTTGATGTCGTTTTATAGATCTGAGTTACATTGTGGGTGTTGCCTTTCAAGGTTTTGGGCTTGTTTTGACTTCATTTTTATTGATTTTAGATAATGATGATGGAAAACTCATGTCTTGGAATATTTATTTCAGAGTCATTACTGGTCCCTGCGTTTTGCTTGATATGAAGTAATGTGAATAGATCATCTAATCAATCTGAAGTTTCTCTTTTTCTCTTAGCATCATTTTCCGATGATAATAGACTTCATGGTAGTGATTGAGACTATGTGTGGTTTGTAAATGTGTGTAAAGGATACTTTTTGTGTTAATTTCGGTGCGTCTTATTGATAGTTTCGCCATCCATCTAGCTTTGCTCAATTCTTCTTTTCCCACAAGTTTTGGTTGTTATGTGGCCTTGTCTTGAATTTGGTTTAATGAGGGTTCTCAGTTCTTGTGGAGTCTGTATGATGCGTGATGCTTATTATGTCTATGCCCCATAATTTCGTGAATTAAGAAACTGTTTGCTATGAATATCAAGTGTATTTGGAGTATTAGGGAAATGATGAATCTCAATTTCTCTCTTTGCAGTTGGAAGCTCTATGTGTTTCCTTCTCTGATTGAAACGCAGATAGAATGATTTTACCAAAGCAGTATCGTTGCACACACTCCCCGAGCTGCCAATGCACAAAAGGCCATTTAAACGAAGACGTGTTGTTATTAGTGTTCCAGCATTTGAATTGGAATCCGAAATTAGTTGCAACATTTTCCTGTGTATGCAGATGGTTTGATGATTTCGCCAAACGGGTACTATGGAAAGAGTTTTGCAAGACTCGTGCCCCAAAAATGATGCTTGATTTGCAATCTAGCGGTAGTCACTGCATTGACGGTAACTGGCGAGCTCTTGGGAAGCTGCTCATCTACTGCTCAGGATGTACACAAGGTGGTCTTTTCAATAGCTCTGTTCAAATCCCAGGCCACTTTGTTTATAGAACCCGGTTCTCAAGAACATTAGGAAAAAGCCTCCTTCCACCTCAGTGTAGAACCGATGTACTCTATGTTTGTGATCCATGCGAGCATCTTGACCAAGGGGAAGAAGGGGATGTTGGTTTGTTCCGTGGGATTTTCAAGTCATTCCCAACATCTAAAGTCCGGAAAGTGATCATTAACAAGGCAGTTCCTTTTCATCCATCCGAGGTTTGCCCATATTGTAAAGCTAGGCTATGGAGCATGCTACAAGCTAAGATAATACCTCAGAGTGCCTGCATTCGTTTGGAAGCTTATGAAGACTGCATTGAGTATTTTGTTTGCCTTAACGGACATTTGCTCGGTATCTGCACTCTGGCGCCTTTGTCTGATTCGGAGGATGCTATTCCAAGCGAAGATAGCAATCACATAGAGAAGAAACAAGGTATTTTTATCTTTCCGGTAAATTACAAGACAGCTTTTTTTGTCTAACGGCAAAGTTCTTACTTGTTTTTTCTTTTTGTCTTTTGCAGAGAATTGCCTTCCTAAAGAGAACATATTGAAAAGGAGAAATTCTTTGTTGGGTGGAAGTGAAAATGGACCTCCGCCTCAAAAACGATTGACCAATCCAAATCCATGTAACATTGATGTGTGAAACATCTGTAAATTTGTGTACTTCTGCTAAATCTATTGCATCTGCAGAGATTCTTCAACATTCGTATACAGTCAAATTATGATCAACAATTTCCATAATATCTGGACCTTTGATACATCAGTACAATGACTCATCAGCTTATGATTTATATAAACTCACATCGAGATAAATATTAGCAGTGCCTTTTCTGACAAGTAACTCACTAGAAGTTCTGTACTAAAAAGACTGAAACTTATTGTGCTCCAAAAGGTTTCATTTTTCATCTGCTCTGTTTTGAGAAAGCTTCTTCTTCTTCTTGTTCAGCATCTGCTGTTTCTGACTCAATCTTCTTGAATGTGAGCTTTTGCTGAGGTAACTGGCCATTGGAGAACGCTGTGACCTCGGTATCGATCAAAATGCCATCTTCCTCCTTGAAATCTCCTCTCAAGATACCTTTAGCGAGCTCATTCTCAATGTTTTGCTGTATTACACGCTTAACAGGTCTAGCTCCATAGTTTGGATCATACCCTAGGCTTCCGAGAAGATCGACTGCTGCATCTGTGATATTTATCTTCATTTTCCTGTCTGCAATTCGCTTCTGCACACGTGCCAGCTGTAGGAAAGAAAGATTCAATGAGGGTTTTGGATAACATTTCTCTATATTGCCATGGACATTTTATTTTGTGAAGAGATGGCCAAGAAATAATCGTTCGAATGCAATCAGAGTCAAAGTATGTCAATCGGTTAAATGGAAGAGTAGCTTGCACTAGATGTTAAACTATTCACCAACGAGCATTTTAAATGGAAATTTTCCAATCTAACTATCCAATTGCCTCCAGAAGCTAACCCTTTGGATATCAGACTATTAATGTCATCAGCATAATCAATTTTATGATTTTCTAAGAAAAGAAAGCATACCTGTAACCGAACAATGCGGTTGATCTGCTCGCGGTCAAGAGGTTGGAAAACTATATACTCATCAACCCTATTCATGAATTCAGGACGAAAGATTGATCTTGCAGCATTCATCACTCTCTCTTTAATCGTTTCATAAACGAGCTCATTAGCATCATCATCTGTGTTGTTCAGAATAAACTGCGAACCAACATTTGAAGTCATGATAATGACGGTATTGGTGAAACTCACAGTACGTCCTTGAGAATCTGTGACTCGCCCATCATCCAAGATTTGGAGAAACACATTGAAGACATCTCCATGAGCTTTCTCAATCTCATCAAAGAGGATGACCGAATAAGGCCGCCTTCTAACCGTTTCTGTTAACTGTCCTCCTTCTTCGTAACCAACATATCCAGGTGGAGCTCCAATGAGCCTAGAGACAGCATGCTTCTCCATGTACTCACTCATGTCAATTCTGACTAAAGCTTCTTCTGTGTTGAACAAATAAGAAGCAAGTGTTTTGGCTAGCTCTGTTTTACCCACACCGGTTGGTCCCATAAACATGAAACTAGCTATTGGACGGCCTGGATCCGAAAGACCAGCCCTTGATCGTTGGATTGCTTCAGCTACTGCAGTCACTGCTGGGTTTTGACCGACTACCCTTTTATGCAATTCTTCTTCCAAATGTAGAAGTTTATCTCTTTCAGACTGTTGAAGCTTCGATACTGGGATTCCAGTCCATTTACTCACAATCTCGGCAATATCGCTACCCAAAACCTCTTCTCTGAACATAGATTTCCCGGAGCTTAAGTACTCGTTCAGCTCTTTCTCTGCTTCATTAAGCTGTCGCTGCAATGAGTTTAAGCTTCCGTATTTGAGCTCAGCTGCACGGTTAAGATCGTATTCACGTTCCGCCTGCTGGATCTCGACGTTTACTCGATCAATCTCCTCTTTAATCGACTGAAGACGGGACATAACAGACCTCTCGTGCTCCCACTGTTCGGTTAATTCAGCTTGCTTCTCCTTTAATAACACTAACTCTGTTTCAATTCGATTCAATCTCTCTCTAGAAGCTTTGTCTGTATCATTGGTGAGTGAAAGCCTCTCCATTTCAAGCTTTATCACCGAGCGGTCAAGCTCATCAAGAGCTGTCGGTTTCGAAGTGATTTCCATTTTCAATTTGGCTGCCGCTTCATCGACCAAGTCAATTGCTAGAAAACCAATTACCAAATCAGTTAGTAACACTGTCTATTAACGAAGATAATATGATGATAAAATGGGAATAGCAAAGTATCAACCTTTATCGGGTAGAAACCGGCCACTGATGTAACGGTCCGAGAGGATAGCAGCTTCCACTAGAGCACTATCTGAGATGCGAACTCCATGATGAAGTTCATACCTTTCCCGCAAACCACGGAGAATCGAAATCGTGTCTTCAACCGTAGGTTGATCGACATAAACCTGTTGAAACCTACGTTCCAAGGCTGGATCTTTCTCTATGTATTTCCTATATTCATCGAGCGTTGTTGCACCGATACAGCGTAACTCGCCTCGACCCAGCATTGGTTTCAGCAGATTACCAGCATCCATGGCCCCATTAGTCGCACCTAAAAGCAAAAAAGAAAACAATTTAAAATCATTGCAATAAAATGTATAAACCGTTTCCAAACATTCAAAGGATTTTGCATACCTGCACCAACAACTGTGTGGATCTCATCGATGAACAAAATGATTTGGCCTTCTGAGTCTGTGACTTCCTTAAGCACAGCCTTTAGTCTATCTTCGAATTCTCCCCGATACTTTGCTCCAGCAATGAGAGCACCCATATCAAGAGATATCAACTGAAAAAAAGAAACCAAAGAACGGTTGAATCAGTTGTTGTCAAAATTGTTAAAAACCGAAAAAGAAACAGTTTGATAAGAAGTTGAATACCTTTCTGTTCATCAATGCTTGAGGTACATCTCCTTGCACAATCCTCTGAGCAAGTCTGATTCAAAAGTGGAGATGTAATATCTTAGCATTACATAAACATATGTGCAACTTCTGAAATTTTTAGTGTTTTGATGATAACTTACCCTTCTGAAATTGCGGTTTTACCAACACCTGGTTCACCGATCAACACAGGGTTGTTCTTTGTTCTCCTCGAGAGAATCTGAATGCATCTTCGGATCTCGTCATCTCTACCAATCACAGGATCAAGTTTTCCTTCTCTTGCCATTGCTGTCAAATCTTTTCCATACTTCTCCAATGCCTCATACTTGCCTTCCGGATCTGTCAAACATGATCATTAACTCTCTTATCCACTAAATTATGCAATCGAATTTTAAACTATCAACCTCAAATGTAGTTACTAACCTTGGTCAATGACTGATTGTTTCCCTCTAATGGATTCAATTGCAGATTTTAAGCTCTTCTCTGATATCTGAAAATCCTTGAACAACTGTTTCCCAAACCGCTTATCATCAGCAAAAGCAAGAACCAAATGCTCCACTGACACATAAGAGTCTCCTAAATCTTTCTTAAACTGTCTTGCTCTCTGGAACAGACCTTCCAAATCACGCCCTAACATCGAACCAGCAGCATCTCCATACACCTGAAATCACAAACTGAATTCTCATTAGCCTCCAAACAAAGAAACAACAAACATCAAACCCTTAAATTACCTTTGGCTGGCGTTGAATGAACTTCTCAGTTGCTTCTAGAACCTTAGTGTTATCCACACCGATCTTAGAGAAAATCCTGCGAGCTAAACCATTCTTCTGCTCCAAAAGAGCTTTCATTAGATGCTCTGTCTCCACAATCTGTTGCTTATTCTCTTTCGCAACATCTGGTGACGAAACTATCGATTGCCACGCCATTTCTGTGAATTCTTGCTGTGTAAGCTACACAAACATCAAACCCAAATTAGCAATCCAGTACGGCAAAAATCCTTTTGAGTGTCAATTCCAGATTTGTGAAACCAACCAATGATTACTTAAAATTTACAGTACAAAAAAAAAAACCTAAAGTTTCAGACTTTACCCTTCCATTAGAAGAAGAAGCTTCACATCGGACAAAGAATGGCCGATGCTCAAGCCGCCGTGTGAGCCTCGCGCTCTGCTTAAATTTCAGAAGTTTGAATGAATTGGGCTTCGCCGGAAAAGCCACAGAAGGTTGAAGATGAGAAAACGTAGAAATCCTTCGAGTCTTCGTTCCTACGCTGACTACACCACTAAACGCCGCCGTAGCAGTCGTCGTAGCCGTCGCCATTAGCTCGGAGAATTAAAAACAGCAAGTAATTGAAAAAGGAAGATAAAATACAACAGGTAGTTTAGCACAAATTCGCCAAAACGGCGAGATGTTTACTTCAGAAAATCAGCAAAGATAAACGCTTTTGGTTTCTCGTGCAGTTTTAGTGAGAACCAAGAGAAGAGGTGAAGTAGAAATAATAAAGAAGAAGTTGCTAAACGACGCCGGAGTCTTCGTGAACCCTCGAGATGAGGTGCGCAACTACATGTACTTAGACCTTCTTCCGACACGTGCTCCAGACATTATAGGATTTTTCGAAGTAGAATTAATACGAGCCGTCCAAAAAATATAGAAGAAATAATTATTAATATATAGTTTCCAGAACTTTGGGCCGTTGATAACGAGAATGGCCCACTACGACTGTTAACAGAAACCAAACAAACATCATGCTTAGTTATATTTCGTTATGATTCACTTATTCCGTGCAAATTCGTTTTGATACCTAATAATAATAATAATTCCACGGTGTTACGAATCAGAATTACATTAGAAACCAAACCTCAAGCGATCAAAAAGCCAATCATGGAACAAAAAAGATTACAAAAAAGTTTTTTTTTTTTTTAAAAGGTATTGAAGAAGGCTCAAGAATAGAATGTGAATCTCCCAAGCTTTTTTTTAACTCTACTTGTCTTGCACATTTGTTAACACCGAGCTCCAAAACATAAACAGACACATTTGTTCTGTTTCAGATCACCTTTAGACTTCTTCTTCTTCTTCTTTTCTGTTTTACCCATTAGCAAAACAAAAATCTCAGATGAGTTTTTTCAAATTCTCGAAAATCGATTACTAAATAATAGTAAAGCTTTAATTAAGAACCTAAAAGATTACCTTTTTCAGTAACTTGATGATGAATTATAACATGCATTGTGGTGACAGCACCTGAGAAATTGCCGACAGGACTCCTGCAATCTCCAACCGTCTTGTTGTTCTCCAATATTCTACCTGCGCTTATCAACTTCACATCTTTCACTGTCTTTGGCCCATTCTCCTTATCTGCTCAAAATATTATACAACCAAGTAAAACCATAACACCCATGATTCACAATCAGGTTTAAAGCAGGTTTTGAGATTATCACAGAAATAGGCGAAAACCCAATGTTAAATGCAAAAACCAGCATCTTTCTCTAGTGCAGGAGTAATGTAACTAGCCTAGGGGTGATGCAGGGAAGTGGAGCTTTGCAAGCTCAGTAACAGACCTCATCGGTTAGTTGAGAGCTGAAGGTTTAAGAAGCTAGAGCATTCTGGATTGTTTCAATCTCTTCTTAGGTTTGGTAAGTGTTTCAAGGATCAATAAAAAAGGGCAATGAGTTACTGAACCTATCTATCAAGAGGCTGAATAGGCAATGCTGAGGTCTTAACCAGACCCGATACCTGCGGATATATTGCATTGCATATATGATGAATATCATACAAGTGAAAGCAGAGTAAAAGAATACAAACTGACCTCTTGGCCACTGAGCAACAATAGTTTCTTTCAATGTAGCAACGGTAGTAGCATCAGGAAACGATTTAGGGCCGATATCGGAACCATCATTGAGCCGGAACTTAATCTCTAATTGATCCTTAACCTCTGCCATAATATCTCTCTTAACCAATGACTGTGTGTGTACCAAGAAGTTCCACAGAAGCAAGCGAGATTCGAAAACTCTGTATTGAAACCTCGTTTGCTTTGATCCTATCTGCAATGACAAAGAAAAATTGTGAAACTTTATGGATTGATGGATGATCTTGATTTGGTGTAAATGAAGAAAAGCATTGATTAAAGAATATCTCAAAAAGAAAAGAAGAATCGCAAAGATCATCCCTGATCATGAATCGTAGTATTTCTCTTCAAAAGAGTATCCTCCATTAATCAACAATACAAGTACAGCAAATGAAATCAATCTGGGGATCGAAGACGAACAAAAAGAAACCCTAATTTGGTGGTCTTACTTACTGATCTGAGTTTGATGATGAATCAGACAGGAAAGGAGAGAGAATGATTAAAGAGATCTCTGACTCAGAAGATTTGAGCCAAATGTTCCAATTCCTTTTTATGTCATTCTTCTTCTCCTTCTTCCCATCTCTACGCCAATTAAAATGCTCTCTGCCTTTTTTTTTTTTTTTTTTTTTTTAATCATACAGTATTATCAAATGCTCTCTCTCTCTCTACATTTGATATGATCTTATTTTTTTATTCACAAAATATCATATTTTTCATTGAAGATTTTTGTTTGTCCGTTTGTTAATCATCAACTTTGGCTAAAATGATCTTTTTGTGGAGACTGTATTCAAAATCACAGCTCGATATGATGTTTTGTGAAGCTGAGAGAAAGAAGTTACATTTCCAAAAGAGAAATTAATAAGAAATGTGGAGCAAAAGTAAGTGTATAATTGTTTGTGTTCCTCAATTTATCAACAACTGGCTTTTCTTCTCTCTCTCTCTCTCTCTCTTAATAACCCAAAAAAATACAAAATAAACCCAATCTTTCCCCATTCTTATAAAAGATTCTCCAAAAGAATTTCAAAAAAAAGGGTACCTTCTATTTTACAGAAAGAATGAATCTTTATCTCTCCCCCTCTCTCTCTCTTTCTCTCATGCAGCTTCCCCTTCCCTGCAACAATGTATGTGGCAAACTAAATTTCTGATTCCTTCTTTACACTCAGTATTATCTGCAGTGCCTTGTCTTTATCTCTGCTTTTCTTCTTCTACTACTTCCTCTGTCTTTTACATCTGTAATACTACCTTCTAGATCATCCAATGATTTCCTACTCCAATATGTGACAGTTCTTGATGAAATCATTTGAGTGGTTGACGTATTTTGTCCAGAATGGCCGCAGATGCTCGAAACCAATCTCCAGCCATGGCTTTGATTGCCCATTGTAGTGTATCACTGCTGCTTTCTTCACATGTTCTATGTTGGTCTTGCTCTGATACCCTAATCCAAGCATATGCCATGACGAGTCTATTATGTGGACGTGACCCTTAAATGCGATTAGAGCAGGAGGCAAGGTTCCAAGCTTCCACATTGTCAGATTCGACTTTAGATTCTGTTCCAAAGCAAAAGTAAAAAAAAGTAGGTTGGTGAGATAACTTTAGATTCTGCTAAAGAAAACCAAAAGAGTGTAAGCTTCTTGGATAGTTACCTCTCTAAGCCAAGAGTGATACGTTTCTCTGATATTTGTTTTCCTCCAAGCTTGTAGATCGAACACATTCATACCATATGCCCAAGCACATTCTTCAGGATCTAAATGCTTTGCGATGAGCGGATGAGAGAAATTGAAGTAGTTCCTTAAACGCTTTGACATCACCCATTCATCTTCACCCCTGCAAGTCTCTACTGCTCCATTGACCTTACCACCAAGGTCAACATCCCAAAGTGGAGTTAAGTCTCCCTGGACAACTATATCATCGTCTAAGAAGACCACCTTGTCCAAGTTCGGGAAAAGCTATTCCAAAAAAAAAAGACGAAATTGGCAAATTATTTAGAATTCCCATGGTTTCTATTGCAAGTTCAAACAAGGGGATAAAATATTTACCTCTGGTATATATATTCTAAGATGGTTGAGCAAAGATATGTATTTTGGACTTCTAGACTGCAATTTTGAAGCAAATGTTCGTGGAGTTGTTTCTGTGAGGTTTGCCCCAGCGACATGATTCCCATGATAATAGTTCCTGACACCATTATGGCTTTCCACAGCTTCCAAAACCGGAACATTCTCTCTCGTCAACCAGTCAAACTGATGAACACCTTTGACCTCGACAATAGCTGGTGCAACAGAATTAAGCGCAAACCATGAATGCATACCCGCATAGGTTTTCTTGTCTGTGATGATGTGAAAGACAATTTTCTCGGGTTTTGAAGATGACTGAACAGCGGATGACACCACAACTGATGCAGCCAAAATATTGTCCGTGGACAGAATAAAATGGTGGTAAGCATTATCTGAAAGAACAGGGAGAAACTCTGGCGAAGGAAGCTGTCTACGAGCATGAGCATTCGAGGAATATTCATCTGTCAGCCTTAGAGAGAGACAATGAATGCCTTTGGGAATGGAACTTGCTGCAAAGTGCTTGTTCATAAGTTCTGCAAATTTCGATTCCCTCATATCCCGTTCAAACTTATCCATCTGTTCAAGACAAGATAGAAACATATCACATATGATAATCTTCTCATTGAGATGGCTCACTTTAGAGAGCAACAAGAATTAACAATAGTATATCTATTCCAAATGCAAAAAAAAAAAGGAAGCCAACTTGACAATTTCAAGCCACAGATAAATTTATTCTTCATGTCCTTTTGATGCAAGTATATATTATGTAGGATGAAAGATAATTTCAAATTAAACAAAGCGTACCATGGCTCGCAGCACAAGAGCAAATGTTTTTGCATCATAGTGGTTATTCTTCATATCTGAAACAAGTTGACTAAAAGAATTTGGAAGCTTCAAACCATCTGGAATTTCTTGAGTGCTTACTTCGTTTAGAATTTTATAAAAGTCTCTAGCTAGTCTCTGCAGCAAGAGAAACATGAGAAAAAACAAAAATATATCATTTCAAAATATGAAAAGATACTGAAAATTAGCCGACGAAGAATCCACTCACCTCTGAATCATCTACCCTACCAAGAAGACGTGGACCTATCCGCCTCCCTAAACAATCTGAAAGTAAAGAAGAAAAGGGGAAGAAACTTTAATGAGAGGGTCATAAGAGCACTGGGGAGATACAAAGAAGCTAATCATTCAATTGAAATTAACACCGATCTTGGATGGAAAACCTCAACAAATGAACATACTAAACCATATAAAAGTATAGAACCTAGATATCCTCAAACAGTATGTAGATAAATGTAAAGGGGAATATACCCTAAGAGACATTCAATTTGGTTAAAATCTGGTAATGCAGAGAAGTCGGTACTTCAAACTCCACACAAACAAAAAATAGGAATTCTACAAAATTTGTCATTCAGCTCCACAATCCAACAAAATGCATAAATAGGGAAAAGTGAGAAATAGATTGTGAAAATTAAGGTAGTACAGCTCTATGAAAACCAAGATCTTACAAAATCATTAGTGGGGACCTAAACAAGAAGAATCCAAAATCAAACAAACTTTGTTGACTGAAGCCAATCCAAGTACAATCCTAAGCATCACAAATGCATTCAACAAAACTAACAAGATGTTTGTGACAAGGAACACTAAAGATGAAAACTTTCTATCTTGCCTTGAAAAAAAAAGACAATCCACAACAGAGAATCCTATAATTAGGCAACAGAAAAGTGGAGATCCGAAGTTGGTAAGATGAAGAAGAGAAACAGAGGAGATTACCAATGGAGGAGCATTTGTTGACACCTTCGAGGGTAACAAGAGCGGTGAGGATGAAGACAAAAGGCAACAAGAAAGCGAGGATTAAGATGGTGTGGAAGAGAGTTCGGTAAGAGATGTGACGAGCTGCGACCTTGATCTTCATCAAGTCAATAAACTCATTGCTGCTCGAAATCGTGATGCTTCTCATGCTCGGCGATATGTGAAGCTGCATCCTCCTTGGTAGTGCAGCCCCACCACAGTGACAACAGAAACCGATTCCAAAAAAACCCTAATTCCTGAAAACAACAACAATCCCAAACCCAACATCAGATCCGATCAGATTCCGCTTCTCCGATCTCGATTTCTCCCCGATTCTCGATCTCAATTCCGTCTCTGTTTCGTTCCTTGACGCTTTTCTTCTTCCTTGTGGTCTTCTCCCAGACCGCATTTGGATTTCAGACCACCAATGGGAAATTTGAGATTCCCGCCTTACTCCCCTGGGAGATTGTTGCTTCAAACAATTCAATACGAGAATCCAAAAGGGTTTGCCTCAAATTCACGTCTTGAGCAGAGATTTCAAAGAGTCTTCCTCACAGATCAAGATTCAAAATCAAAGAGCTGAGGAAGAAGAAGAAGAAACAAATAAGAGGAATAATAACAACGAGCTTTTGTTCTCAGTGATTTTGCCGGTGGATCTAAATAAAACAAATAATAAAACTAAGGAAAATAATAATAATTATTAATTTCAAGATCTAAAATTATAATGAAATAATTAAATAAATTGGTGTCTTGACCTTGAGTTTAGGGCTTGTTTTATAGAGTGCTAATTATACATTGTCTCCACCTATTTTCATGGCTAAGCAAGAGTTTTGCTTTTTCTTCTTTCCTCTTAAATGATTGATATAAACTAATTTTAATCAAACATAATAATTTAAATTGACAATTAAACTGATAAAATAAATAAATAATATGTTCTGTTCAAGTTAATTAGACAATGGCCCCCTCTTCCTAACGTCATAGTAGTGCTTTTTATAACAAAATAGAAAAATTAGTTGTAATTGTACGACTAGACCATCTAAACTGATTAATTAGAAGTTTAAATGATGATAATTTGGCCAAACTCAAAACGTTGTAATAGTTTTGAAAGTTAGACAGACGTCTAATATATGGTCCACATTAGAACACTAATATGAAAAGATAAATATATCCCATGTCAAGTTCAAGGGCATCTCCTCCTTTATAACATTTGTCTACGGAGCTCCACAAGTTGAAGACAGACCGGTTCTCTGGGAAGAAATCTCAGCCCTAGCAGATGGAAGAGAGGAGGCTTGGCTTCTGACAGGGGATTTCAACGAGCTCTTAGATAATTCAGAGAAGGTAGGAGGTCCAGTGAGACCAGAAGGGTCTTTCATTCCCTTCAGAAGTTTCCTCTCTAAGAATGGGCTCTGGGATGTGCAACATTCAGGGAACATGCTCTTATGGAGGGGTCAACGACACTCGCATTTCATCATGTCAAGGTTAGATCGCTCCCTGGCAAATGTCTCTTGGTCAGAAACCTACCCGTCAGGACGCTGCAGATATTTACGGTTTGAAGGCTCTGACCATAGGCCACTGGTCACGTATTTTGATCCATCAAAAGTTAGAGCAAAAGGAGTCTTTCGATTCGATAGACAATTGAGAGGTAAGGAGGAGATTCATCATCTAATAAAGGAAGCTTGGCAGACACCAGAATTAGAGCCTCTCGTGACAAAGTTCGCGAGATGTAGACGAAAGCTTATTCAATGGGCAAAGGAGCAGCTGGATGCCAAAGTCAAAGACATTAAAGAAAAGCAAACTGAACTGGAAGCGGAGCTCTCTGCGTTAGTTCCGGATAATTCACGTATAGATGCTTTAACTGCGCAGCTATCCGCAGCCTACCAGGATGAAGAGATGTTTTGGAGACAGAGAAGCCGGATTCAATGGTTGCAGGAGGGGGATCAAAATACGGGCTTCTTCCACGCAGTCACAAGAGGTAGGAAAGCTCAAAATCACTTTTCTGTGATAGAAGATGAGCAAGGAACAGAATTGTTTGAGGAAGTCCAAATCACAGAGGCGGTTTCCTCCTTCTATGATGGCCTGTTTAAAGCAGCTTCCTGTAGTCAGCTACAAGTGGTAGAGGAGGCCCTGCAGCCTCAGATCTCTCCCTCCATGAATGCTACTCTAATTAGGATTCCATCAGAAAAGGAAATTCATGATGCGGTTTTATGCATACATGCGGATAAAGCTCCTGGACCGGATGGCTTCTCAGCTGGTTTCTACCACTCCTTTTGGGAAATTATTGGGAGGGGAGTGGTGATGGAAATTAGAGAGTTCTTTGAATCTGGCTTGTTGAACCATCGCCACAACGAAACGCACATTCGGCTTATTCCAAAAGGACCGGGCGCTAAGAAGATAGCGGATTATAGACCTATAGCGCTCTGTAGTGTGCATTATAAGATCATTGCCAAGATTCTCTCCAAGAGGCTGCAACCTCTCCTTTCTTCTCTCATCTCCCAACATCAGTCGGCTTTCGTTCCCGGAAGAGCAATCTCCGACAATGTGCTCATAACACATGAAGTGTTACACTTCCTTCGCACTTCCGGCGCAAAGGTTCATTGCGCGATGGCGGTAAAAACGGACATGAGTAAAGCGTATGATCGCATTGAATGGCCTTTTCTCCGGGCAGTGTTGAAGAGGTTTGGGTTCCACGACATGTGGATAAAGTGGGTGATGGAATGTGTCTCCTCGGTGAGCTATGCGTTCCTTATTAACGGGTCCCCTAAAGGATGTGTCAGTCCTACCCGAGGACTTCGGCAAGGCGATCCTCTTTCGCCTTATCTCTTCATTCTTTGTACGGAAGTCCTTTCGGGGCTCTGCAAAAAAGCTCAACTTCAAGGTTCGCTTCCCGGGGTTCGAGTTTCTAGGCGCAGCCCCCTAATTAACCATCTCTTATTCGCGGACGACACCATGTTCTTTAGTAAGACGAGTGTTAAAAGCTGTGAGACTCTTATGCGAATACTCAAAAGGTATGAGGAGGCTTCGGGGCAATGTATTAATGCAGCTAAGTCCGGGATTACTTTCTCCGCAAAAACTCCTCCGGAAGTTAAGCAAAGAGTGAAGCAGGCTCTGGGAATTGTGAATGAGGGAGGCATCGGAAAATATTTGGGACTTCCGGAGCACTTTGGGAGAAGAAAGAAGGATATCTTCACGGCTATTGTGGATAAGAGGATTCAATCGGCGTTAACCCGCTTTTGGTGGGATGATAATCGAGAGAAAAAGAAGGTGGCGTGGATTGCTTGGAATAAGCTCTCTTTATCTAAAGAAAGTGGAGGATTGGGCTTTAGGGAGATTGCTACCTTTAATGATTCCCTCTTAGCAAAGATAGGTTGGAAGTTGCTTCAACAACCGGACTGCTTGCTTTCTCAAGTGTTATTGGGCAAATATTGCCATTCGTCCTCCTTTATGGAGTCTACTATTCCTGGGAATGCGTCTCATGGTTGGCGAGGGATTATGGAGAGTAGAGAAGTGTTAAGAAAGGGTTTAGGCTGGATTGTGGGAGACGGCGAGAGCATCAGTATTTGGAACTCACCGTGGATGTCAGCAAGTGTTCCATTGCAGCCTGTGGGACCTCCTACAGAGGAAGCTCAGCATTTGAAGGTCAAAGACTTGTTGCTCCCCGACTCTACCTCCTGGAACTTGGAGATTATTAGAAAGCTAGTGCCTCAATATGAGGATGATATCCTTAAGCTAATTTTGGGCAAGTCCCCGCGCCCGGATAAGCTGCGATGGCTCCCAGTTAAGGCTGGCAAGTATACTACAAAATCTGGCTACTCCTTGAGTAAGAGAGCTGCAGTGGACCTCCAGGCCGACGCCTTTAACTGGAACTCAGCTGTCTGGAAGATTACTACTTCACCTAAACTAAAAATGTTTTTGTGGAAGGTAGCTAGAAACGCTTTGCCACTGGGGACAGCTCTAGCAACGAGGGGACTTGACGCAGCAGTGGCGTGTAAGCGGTGTGGAGCAGAGGAGAGCGCGATGCATCTGTTCTATCATTGCCCTTTCGCCAAGCGGGTCTGGGAGCTGGCTCCTGTCACTAATAAGCCCCCCTGCAACGACTTAGCTTCGGTGAAAGAGCTACTGAGTAAAGCTAGAGGAATGGTTACTCTGCCCCCTGTGGGTTTGGTTTTCCCCCCTTTGTTTCCTTGGCTCCTTTGGTTTCTATGGAAAGCTCGTAATCTTCTGATTTTTGAAGAGAAAGTCTGGACAGCGGAGGACACGTTGAGAAAAGCGATCACAGAGGCTCGAAATTGGCAAGCTGCAAAGTTGCTACAGCCGATAAAGCTTCCAGTCCCCATCAATAGAAATAGTGGGGAAGTGCATCCTGAGGCGTTCAGGTGTTTCTCAGATGCAGCCTGGTTAGCTGCGGCGAATTTAGGCGGGATGGGCTGGGTAATCAAGGATCCAAGCAATGTTCCAATCCTTCAGGGCTCTACTTCACGACCCTTTGTGTCCTCTGTTATTATGGCAGAGGCACTTGCTCTCAAGGCGGCGATCACGGCGGCCTTAGCTTTGGGTGTATCAAGACTGGCCTGTCACTCGGATTGTCAAGACCTCACCACTCTTCTCAACACCGAGGGTCAGATTAACGAATTGGAAGGCATTCTCTCGGATATTTATTCGCTTAAGAATGACTTCATCTCTATTTCTTTTCATTTTGTTCCTCGTAAGGATAACTCTGAGACTGATGCTTTGGCAAAGGCTGGTCTGCAACTGTGTAACGTTTCCTCCATTGATGGAGTTTGAGTTTTATTGAATGTCTGGTTTACAAAAAAAAAAAAAAAAATATATATCCCATGTAAAAAACTTTATCTAAAACTAATTAATCATTAGACTAAAAGCGAAAACAAATTCAACATAGTAAATTTACGTCGTCCACATAACATAATGACGTGAATTACAAGTGATTTGATTTTGTACGCTAGCTCAACAATTTAATGTGCTCAAGAGAGAAAATAAGCAATTCCATGATATTTTTTTTTTACAGCAAAATAAGATCATCCATTTAAGTTAGAAACGGGCGTTTTTTTACGGGAGAAAACCAGTCCAGTATTAAAGAGCTTACATGGAAAAAGATAGAATCACGTGTTCTTGCCTTTTTAGCATCTTTTACTTGCAATTCGATGATATTTTTGCATCTTTTTCTTGATAAATGGTAGATCAATATCCCATAATAATTTAAAACACAGTCTTAGCTGGTAGGTCCAATTTCACCATAGGGATATTTTTCAGAATTTAATTATACCGTACAATTCTTCTCTCCGTCGTTTTCGTTTAAACATATAACAAAGAAAAAGAAAAAAAAGTAGTTGTTTTGGTCAGGAAAAGTAGTTATTTAATTTCATTTATATGCTCAAAAGTTTTGTTGAAATACCATAGACCGACCGACACATTCCATTGTGACTTTTCAAATCAACAAAAATTGACTCGAACCGGAATCAAATCCGACGAGTTAATCCCAAAGAAACAAAAGATGCAATTGAGAGGAAAAGTTGCTAAAACAACTTTAGAAAAAAAAACAGAGCAAAAAGTCTCAAACTTGACTATCAAATTATGTACAACTTCGATTCAGAAACTGAAGACATTTCTGATGAAAAAAAAAGAACTCAAGACATTTCTAGAAACAAGAAAGTAAAACAAAAATATCATTCTCTTTTTACACCAACTAATGTTTTTTTCTCATCTAAAATAACAGAGCCAAAAAAATCTCAAAGTTGACTACCAAATCCTATTCGAGAAACAGAGTTTTAGTAAAACTCGACTCCAACACTAACATGTTATCCTCTGTTTGAAGTTGCTGTCTCTTGCCGTGAGACTTCATGTGACCATCTAAAGCATGAACCGAGCTGAAATTCCTTGAACGGATGCTACACTTGTGTGTCTTCTTCTCTTCGTCACTGAGCTTCTCATAGATTCATCCTCAGGTTCTACTGATTCCTCTCTGCAATTCTTCTTGAACTTACATTTGCTCATCCGATGAATCGTCTGATGACCTCCTAGAGCTTGATATGAAGAGAATATCTTGTTGCACAACCTGCATTGATGCTCAACGTTCTTCTTATCAGATTCAGTGATCATCTCAGAATCTGAATCAGAACACTCCATAGCTCCTACTCCAAGCTCAGTTCTGTAGTACCCAGTTTCAAAGTCACCAGCTTTTCGCAGTTTCCGCTGTTCCAATTCAATCTTTGTTACCAAGAAACTCTCTGGTTCTTTCCATGCCCCTCCCATCAGTTTTTGCTCATTACTCAGAAACTCAGAACCAAATCCACCTCCATTTCGCAGCTTGTGCTGATCCAAAACACACTTGCGTCCCAAGAAACTTGCTGGACCTTTGAATGTAACAGGAGTAGTAATCTCTTCTTTTAGCATTCTTTGCTCATTACTCAAAAACTCAGATTCAAATTCACCAGCTTTTCTCCGTTTCTGTTGATCCAATCTGTTATCATCTCTCAAGAAGCTAGCTGGTTCTTTCGATGTTCCAAAACTACTAAACCCTTCTTCCATAAATCTTTGCTCATTACTGAAAAACCCATATTCAAATTCACTACTATTTCGCGGTTTCTTGTTACGCAAACAACCCAAATCATAGCTACTTTTAGGTGTTTCATGAGTAATATGTACTGCCTCAGCAAGAAGTTTTAGTCCGTCTACAAACTTGGGAGTACTCTCGGACAATAGAATCAAACAATCCGCCACTTCTAATTCTTCATCATTCGCAGCAACAACAGAACGCGGTTCATGAAACGTAGTAAACGAACAAGAAAATGAAGTCTTCTTGTACCTAACAAGTCTCGATCTTTTCTTCTTCCTCACAAAACTTAGGCTACGACATAGACTCATCACGGATTCTTCACAAACCTTCTGGTTCGTCGATAAATGCATCACCGCCTTATGATTCGAAAAACATTTCTCGTACCGAAACCCTTTTCCACATTCTTCGCATCGAAACAAGATCTTCTTCATTGGTTCCGGAGACTCCTGGATTTTCTTCTTCGGGTTTTCCCTTAGACCGTAGTAACAAGTAAAATCTCGCTGTAGGTTCATAGATTCTTCTGTTTCTTTACGTGAATGAGTAATCTTGAGGTTTCGCAGAGCTCCATAGATGGGTTTATGGAGATCTTGATGTTCTTCTTCCATTTAGGCGCGAAATACACGGGGTTTGTTGATAAAGAAGAAGTCAATGAAGGTAACGATGAGGTAGACGATGTAGAGGAAGAGAAGAAAGCAACAAACGCAAGCCGGACTCATTATCAAATAAACTCTCAGATGAGTTGAAGAAAAAAGGAGATGCTCTGTTTCTCGTCACTTTCCCGAGAAAAACTGAGAGAGAAAGCGCCGGAGAAACAGAGAAGCTTGTGAAAGAAAAAGGTAGAAGCTTGAGACTTTCAAATCAAACGAAAGAATACAAATCTTTTGAGTTTCTGTGACTTTTCGGGAGATCAAGTGAGCGAGAGGAATGGAGGAAACACCGAAACAGAGAAGCGGAGAATATATATAAGCATTGAGCGAGTCATGAAAGGGGCATTTTAGTAAATCGCCAAGAAAAGAGGAGCGACACTTTGGTTTCGGCAAGAAGGTTCCATGTGGCAAGCATCATGAGCCTCAAATTGTAAAAAACATCTTTTGGTTAAATAATATTTTTACCATTCAATATATCAGGTTATATGGGAAAATACTTAACTGAAGTAGAAATCAACTAGGGAAAACTTTTATATTATGAAAATAATACTCGAAAAGCTTACAATATTTGATAACCCAAGGTACATAATTACCAACAAAAACCAAACCTAAAATCTCTGTTGGAATTCATAAAACGAAGAAAAAAAAAAAGCAACAATTATTGATCAAAACATAGTTAAAGATATATGGAAAAACTCATGAGAATTCGGAAAAAATGGAGAAATAAGCTAAGGAAGAGGTTTGGTTGTTGTTTAGGCAAGAGCAGGCATGTCCTTGAGCCACTGGTCCAATGGCTTACCAATGGAGTAAACAATAAACCCAATCTGCCTGAGTTTGTCAGCATCGACCACGTTTCTACCGTCAAAAACAAAAGCCGGTTTCTGCATATTCTCAAAGATCCGCTGGAAATCGAGTTTCTTGAACTCGTCCCACTCGGTTAAAATGCAGATACCGTGGGCGTCTTTGGTTGCAGTGTATGCGTCCCAAGCGACTGAGACTTGTTTCACAGTGGTGGGGCTCATGGGCTGGAGATGAAGCGGGTGGTCCCAGTCGAATTTGTTCATGGTTAAGTCTCTTTGGATCTGGTCTTCAGTGACTTGTGGGTCGTAGATGCTGAGACGAGCTTTGTCACCTAACAGACCTTTGCAGACATCAATGGCTGGAGTCTCTCTTGTGTCTCCAGTGTCTTTCTTAAAAGCGAACCCGAGAACCGCAATCTTTTTGTTGGAGACTGTGTTGAACATTGAAGAGACAATGCGGTTAACAAATCGGGTTTTCTGGTAGTCGTTGATCTTGATGACTTGTTTCCAGTACTCAGCAACTTCGGGTAAGCCGTTGCACTCGCAAATGTAAACTAAGTTGAGAATATCTTTCTGGAAACAAGATCCTCCGAATCCCACACTTGAGTTCAAGAACTTGGGACCAATCCGAGAGTCTTTGCCCACAGCGTAAGAGACCTCTGAGACATTGGCGCCAGTTGCTTCACAGAGAGCAGACATTGCATTGACTGATGAGATTCTCTGGGCTAAGAAGGCGTTAGCTGCAAGCTTGGAAAGCTCGGCAGACCAGAGATTGGTGGTGAGGATTCTCTCTTCAGGGACCCATTGGGAATAAACGTCTTTCAAAGCTTTGACGGCTGCAAAGCCTTCAGGTGTTTCACGACCACCGATGAGGACACGGTCAGGCATGAAAAGGTCTTCAATAGCAGTTCCTTCAGCAAGGAACTCAGGGTTTGACAGAATCTGGAATTTGATTCCTTTGCTGTTGTGTGTAAGAATCTTCTCAATTGCCTCTGCGGTTTTGACAGGAACAGTTGATTTCTCAACAACAATCTTGTCAGAAACCGAAACATCGGCAATCATACGAGCAGCGCTCTCCCAGTAAGTCAAATCCGCAGCTTTGCCAGCTCCAAGACCACGGGTCTTAGTCGGGGTGTTGACAGACACAAAAACAATGTCAGCCTCTCTCACATGCTTCTCAACATCAGTGCTGAAGAAGAGATTCTTTCCACGGCACTGCTTAACCACATCATCGAGACCAGGCTCATAGATGGGAAGCTGATCGCTGTTCCAGGCATTGATCCGTGGCACAGAGATATCAACAACGGCTACTTCAACAGATGGACACTTTAGAGCAATGACCGCCATAGTTGGACCACCAACATATCCAGCTCCAATGCAGCAAATCTTCACCATTATGCTTGTAAACTGAAAAAAAAGTTAAACGTCAAACTTCAAATCTCTCTGTAATCGATACCATAAGTGAGTGCACAAAAGTCCTTAAACTGTTGAATCAGAACTTAAGATAACGAATTATTGTATCTAGCAATTTTGACTAAACAAATCAGATCCAACAATTCAAGCATTGTAAAGAAGAAATTGATAAGCAAAAAAAAAAAAAAAAAAAAAAAAAAAAAAAAAAAAAAAAAATTCAAAGCATTCAAAAGGAGAATCCACAATAAGCAAAAACTAAACTTGGACAGATGCAATTTTCAAAAACTCAGATCCGGTTTCGTGAGAATTAAAATACACACAGAGAATACGTTTACGTAAACCTGAACCAAATTTTAGGTGAAGCAACCAATTCAGAGATCAAATACTCATGATCATGCTTAAGAATGAGCCGTTTAAATCCGAAATTCAACGAAAAATACACACATAGAGCGAGAAATTCAAATCAAAATCTCAGATCTGGTACATGCAAAAGAACCCGGTTCAGGAATTGGGAATAACGTAAAATGAGAAATGAAATTACGTGAATTTTCTGCGGATCACCGACACAGATCGAACCTGAATGCACAAAAAATCTTGAATCTCACAGAATTTTAACAAGACAAAAACATTCAAAAGCAAATCTATGTAAAAATTAAACCTACCAAAGTAGATCCAAATCGAAACAGGAGATAAAGCCGAGATCGGATCGCGAATAAACACAAAATTGGATCGAGGAAACACGGATTATTAAAGAGAGAGAGAAGCTTGAATTTGATGATACCTTTAGAGTGAGAGCTATGTAGGCTCTGGTTCTAACACTGATCGAAGAAAATGGAGGTGAAATCGCTAAATCTGACGATGGAGAAGAAGAGCGGGGTGAGTATGTAGTTTATATAGGTCATGAGATTCCTAAAATGCCCTTGAAACCGTCAAAGAATAACGCGGTTTAAAAGTTACTTATTTATTGTTGTTCGCTTAATTAAATTAAACAAAACACTTTCAGTTAAAAATTAAATGACATAGGTAGAAAAAACGATGGGCTCACAATATTTGGCAGGTTTATAAAGTCTTCAAGACACGTTAAACATTTGACATATACCAAGGATTGGATTTCGACCAACATAAATACGCTTTATCGAATATGCCAAAAAAAAATCTTTTTGCGTAAGCCAAAAAAAATAATTGTATAGTGTGGTCAATAAAATTTTTTTTTTTTTGAGTTTTCTACATCCTTTCCTATTTTACATATTAATATTTATTCAAAGTTTATATTGGAAACTAAATAAATTCATTTCTTGTCTGTCTATTTTTTTTGTTTTTTTTACTTATTGAAAAAGAATTTAACTACTTACCAATCTCCATACTATAAAAACTGAATTACCTTTTTATGTTTGTCAGCAAAATTTGTATCTCTTTACATACTTAGCGATTTTTTTGAAAACTTTACATATATATTATGGATTCTTTTTTTTTTTGGGACTTTTTTCCACTTATTAAATTTTCTCTTGAAGTAATCGATGCTTCAAAACCAAAAAAATAGCTACGTATATATTATATTGTTGACCTACCAAAAACTATTTTTTATATTTAGAAATATTATTACCAACAAATTTCTATGATTTTGATAAGAGAAATATTAAAAAGGGCAAAACACATAACGAAGTAACTACAAAACGTATTTGAGTACATTACTGGTTTGAATCATTTTATGTGCGTCACTGTCCATTTCATAGTCTACGATTTACTTCCCAAAGTTTGGTGCTTAGTTTCGATATTCAATAATGTACAAGTTAATCTATTATTATAAAACCAATTTATATGAGTAGTTATGTGATTGTGTGGCGAAGTCTGCAGGACAAACTTCAGACAAAAGACTAATTGCACTTTGCTTGAAAACTCAGTAACACTTTTTGAAGTGCTTCTCAAGCTATATTTGCAAAATTATTTAAATAACTAATAAAACGAAAACTGTGGTTGAAATTATAATATTAACGTACGTTATATATATTTCTAGAAAAAAATTAAATCGAAACCAAATATTTTTAAACAAAAACAATCGAATATAACCTGGTTCGTATACGTTGACCAGCAAAAAAAATTGATTCATATACAACTCGATTTGGTTTGCCATGTTACTTTAACTCAGTGAACATTAAAACCTCAAAATCATGATTTTTGTTGATTCGGTAATTATTTTACTCGTTTTACATTCGAATTAGAATGCGTCATACGACACCTTTCACTTTCTAGCAACGTATACTCTTGTCAATCATGTAGTCTTTTTATGCAAATAATATGCATCATACATGTAGAGTAAATATTATGCAAATAATAAACAGAGATTTCATGTAAATCTGTTTATCTCGAGCTAGTAGTAGAGATTTTATACATTATAGAATAAAAATACAAAAACAACAATAAAATAACAAGAGGAAATAAAATTACCTAATCCCATACCGATTAGGCGCAAAACCTCTAGCTTGATCCAACGTAGTGAAACCTTCCCAAACCAATCCACTCTTGGGTCCACGCACCTTGGTTCTCTTAGACTGCACCCATTCCCAAAACCAAACTACCAATCCCCAAATTATAAGAACCACTATCGCACCCACACCTGCGATCGTGTACGCTCTTGCGTTCGGCTTGATCACATCCCCTGCAACAGAGTAAGCCAAGAGCAGAGGAACGAACAGAGGATAATACCAAAACATACTCTCTTGTCCTAAACTCAACAAACGTATCATCATCTCAATGGCAAAGTAGAAACCCGCACTGTTCCATAACCATAACCAGATAAAGTAGACCTCGTCCATAACCACTGAACCCGCTTTCGTACCGCTTGTTCCAGTTCCACCGTTTTGACCGCTCCCATCAGATACGCCTCCGGGAGGTTGGAGAACGGTCTGATAAGTAGCTGTGACTATGAGAGTTGCGACCACTAAAAGAGCGTTTCTTCTCTCTTCAGAGATCCAAGAATAAAACCGAATCTTCTTTGTCCGTCTCGATTCTCTCCAAGAAAGCTGCGACGCGAGTAGATCCGATGTTGTCTTAATCTTAACCAGAGAAACCGAACGTTCTCCACCATGTCTCTTAACCATTCTCTCTGTCTCTCTGTTATTGTGTAATGCAGCAATGTCGAGAACGGTTAAACCGGTCTTGTTCTCGATGTTGACGTTAATCTTTGAACTCTCTAACATCAATTTCATAGCTTGAAGATTGTTCTCGTACGCCGCGAGATGTAAAGGTGTGTTACCGTCTTTGTCTCTTCGGTTTATGACTCTTGTCTCGATCCACTCTGCATCTTTTTGACACAATCTTAGGATCCATCCCATGAGAACTTTAATAACGCTTAATCCTTCTCTTTGGTCGTAGTTACTCAAGGCGATGTGAAGAGCGTTTTCTCCGTTCACGTTTGCGTCCACAATGCTTTCGGGGCAAACCAAGAAGAATTCTGATATCAGATCAATCTTCTTTTTGCTTACTGCAACTAGCAATGGTGTCATACCTTTTTTTGGACAAGAAAAAATGAAATTAGCGACTCGGTTATCAATCCGGTTAAACCCGAGTTTATGCCAGGGTTACCAATCTAGTTCTTCTACCTAATGTTTAACCGGATCTAGACTGAAATTCAAACTACTTACTATTCAATGGACTACTAATTCTAGTTCAATACTATCTCCAAGATTGAATTTACTAGATACATATTATAACACTAGTTCGGATTGATGAGTGCTAAAGATTTTGAAAAAGAGAAAAAAATAACTAAGGGTTCGACAAATAAGTAAGAGCACGTACCATGTCTCCCTTTAAAACGAACAAGGCTTGGATCAGCCTTAACTACGTCAAGTACTAACCAGAAGTGACTATGATCGACAGCGAGGTGTAATGGCGTAAGTCCGTCTGCGTTAAGTTTCCGAGCAAAAGATGGTTTCAAGTTCATCATTTCCATGGCGAACTCTGTTTTTCCAGCGACGGCTGCCACATGGAGAGGAGTATTAACGAAGGGCACATCATCGATTTTGTCGAGAACGTATGGATCTTCATGGATCAATTCGTATAGTAGACCAATGTTTCCAGATTTAGCAGCAGTTTCTAATGATCTTTGATCCATTAGCTAAGAGAGGAGAACGACGATGCTAGTTATTTTTGATGATTAAATATGAAACTTAATTGGCTACGAAATGATAACTAGTTTGTGAATCAAGGAAGAAGTTCGAAAAAACGAAAGTGTGGAAAATTATGTGACGTGGCAGTATTCGTGGACAAGTCAGCATCTGATCATTTAATCCAACGGTTAATATTAGATTAAAAAGAATTATTGTCCGAAATTTTGATGTGACATGGAGTACAACGTGGATCAAATCGGCTCCATCATTTCTCTGATCTACGGCTAGTATTACACGAAACAATTTTGCTGTCAAATGATGTGACGTGGCATTAAACGTGGATTCAAATGAGCATTATCATTGATTCGATGATCTAACGGACAAGATTAGGAAAATAATTATTTATTAGTAATCTAAAAAAAAAGCACATTAAAAAAGCACCAAAAATAGCCGTTATTAGAGAGCGTCCAAAGAGCGCCGCAACGGTCACATTTTTTCCCCAAATCTATCTTCTTCTTCGACTCCTTCTTTTTCAATTTCAATACTCCATAGCAAGAAAAAAACCCTAATTCTTCATCTCCGGTCAATTATTGCTCGTCTTCGTGTTGTTCTTTTGATTCCAGAATCTGTTCTTATCTTCGATGGAGTCGTGGACTTTGAAGAATGGGAAACCAGTGACTCCGGTGAAGGATCGGAGCAAGTTTCAGTCCAAGGTTCAAGAGAATTCCAGATCGTCGGAGAATGCAAACCCTAACATTTCACACGCGAGTCCGGCTAAATCTCCGATCACGAAATCTGCGAAGAAATCGGCGCAGAAGAATCAGAGTCCAAACCCTAAAAAACCTAGTCAGGCGGTTTCCTCTCCCCGGAATCGGATCAGAGAGAGGAAGTTTGTTGTGGTGGCGAAGAAGAATTCGAGGAAAGGGAAGAAGGATCCAGCGGTTACAGAATCGAAAGTTGCTGAGATAGATTGTAAATGCGGGGAGAGGAAGAAGGGGAACATGAAGTGTGTTTGTGTTGCATATGAAACTCTGCGTGCTTCACAAGAGGAGTTCTTCAAAAATCGAATTCAATCAGAGGAGGAAAAGGGAGATTTGGAGGAATGTTGTAATCTCGGACAAAATGTTGGAGATGGAGGAGGATCCGGGGAACCGGAGAAAACAGGCGCTTCTACAATGAAGAGGTCAAGGGCCAAAGTTGTTGAAGAAGCACGGCAAAGCGTGGCTGTATCTGGTAAAGTAATGAATCTTGTAGAAGCATTTGAGAAACTCACTTGCTTTAGTAATTCAAAGACTGCCAACAAGAAAGAAGAGATTAATCAAACCGAAGAGGATACGAAGAAGCCGGTGAAGTGGGAATTGCCTGGACTGAGAGAGGAACATAAGTTCATGGAGGGAGAGAAAGAGCAAAATCCATGGAGTTCTTCGTTTTGTCCATCTGAATTGGTCTTAACAGCTAAGAATCTGGGGTTAGACCCCAATGCTTCGATTTCTTCGTCCTGGGACAGCACCCGCGGCAGGTTAGTTTGTCTAAGAGATCTCACTTCAATTATGAACTTCACTTGTTCTGAATAGTTTGATCTTGTGATGTTTCAGTGCTATGAGTGGGAGTTCAAATACTGGCAGGAGAAGCAGAAGAAATGTAAGTGTCTTGGCAGCATCTCATTTTTCTTAGCTGTTTAATGATTATCTGCCTTGCTTAGTATGTCAATAAAGTTTAATAATCAGTTTGATATTTCTGTTTATGGCAGAGCATGGACTCATCGACTACAATGGGAAGTAGAAGATCAAAGAAGAAGCAGGTTAAGGTCACTTCACTGAAGCCGTTTAAGCTTAGAACTGAGGTATGAGTTTTTAGATGAAGAAAAAATATATAAAGTTTTCCGATTTCATGGTAGAAATCGAGAAATCGAGTCCTGACTGTTGGTTGATCTTTTGTTTTTTTGCAGCAAAGAGGTAAAATGAAAGAGGAAGAGTTTGCAAAAAAGATTCATGAAATAACGTTGGAGGAAGAAAAGTTGAGAATCCCCATTGCTCAAGGTCTTCCATGGACAACTGATGAACCTGAGGTAAGCAAGCAGGCTTTGCTTGGTAACTTGGGATTTTAGAGGCCAAACTAGAACTATTGTTATGAATCTTCCCTCCCAGAGAATTCAATTTTAAGTTTGCAATGAAAGATGATGATGTCTTGTTAAATATGAAGAGGCTTGCATATGGTCATGTTAGCATCTAATGTTGTTTCTGTTTCAGTGTCTAGTTAAGCCTCATTGGAAAGATATAACTAGACCAGTCGACTTGACGCTTCACTCAGATGTCCGGGCAGTTGAACGCGCAGAATTTGATTACCAGGTAACCTTGATAATGCAATGATTTAATCTACATTTTGTTGGGTTTGAAGTCCACATCGTAAAGAGTTGTGCCCTCACTTTTTCAAGATATCTTAAAATATAGCCGCTGGAATGATTTGGCTTCAGTACGTAGTTGATACTGTCGAATCATTTAGAGCATTGTTCCAATAAATTTTTCCATGTTAAAGTGTGAATTTGTTGTTCTAGGTTGCGGAGAAGATGAACTTCATTGAGCAATACAAAATGGAAAGAGAAAGACAACAGAAGGTAAATTTTTATATGAGATTTTGTGGCCATATCCAATAATAGTCTTGCTTCAATTGATTTTGATATCCAACATTTTTTGTAGTTGGCAGAGGAAGAAGAGATAAAAAGGCTGAGGAAAGAATTGGTCCCAAAAGCACAACCAATGCCATACTTTGATCGACCATTCATTCCAAGAAGGTAAAAGACTTGTACATAAATACTATCCTCTTGAATCTTGATATCTCCTTGAGTCCTTTCTTATTATATACATCAGACGATTTTAGGCTACCTTATCTGTATGAATCTCTCTATGAGACCATGATAGGTAATATAGAGATCGTTTTTAAGTGGTAAATATGTTTGCAGCCATATAGTTTTCACAGACCAACTAATAGAGTGAACCTTCTTATAACAATGAACTTATTTGCAAAAGCTGATACAATTGCTTATTGTTGTTTTCTTTTACCATTAAAAGGTCGAGCAAACATTCAACTGCACCACAAGATCCCAAGTTCCACATACCGCAGCACAAGAAGATCAGATGCTGCAGTTCATCTTCTTGGAGTGAAGCTGGCTCCTGCATGAGCGATTTCCAATATCAGTTTCTCTAAAAAGCTTCTTTTGGGTTTACAACTATATCATCCCTGTCCATATTCTCATTTTCAAAACTATATTACCTTCTGTAAGCGATTCAATGAAGCAACCAATTAGTTGCAGTTTCATAGATTTGACAATCATTCGTGTTCCACCTTTGTAATAATCTGGTCTACGCCTAAAAATGAGAAAGTTTCCACATTTGTTTGCAAAATCTCTTTTGTTCTGGTTCAGAAAGATATATAATACATATCCTCCTGTTTGAATTTGGATTTATCAGATGATTCACATTACTATTCATCTGTGTACTTTGGTTTAGGTCTGGTCAAGAAGGATATGACAATCATCTTCCAGTTCAAATTTGGATATACCTGACATATTAGAAGAGTTTCATAGTGAAGAGTAAACTATTTCTTGAGATTTCTACGAAGAAGGGTAAACTTGGATACAAAAGCACTGTAAAGAACAAAACTTTAACAGCTTCAATATCAAATTAGTTCGTCAAAATGATCACAACAGAAGAGAGTAAAGATCTAAAATCACGAAACCCAAAAAAGCTCTGCAACATTCTTGAGGCTCCCCCAAAGCAAGCATAAGGAGAACAACAGCTCTTCATGATTCAGCAGCAATACGACCAGCGACCTGATCCAAATCCCGTTGACCGCTTGAAGTGATTCTTCTTCCCCTGAGACAAAGAATGAACAAAGGAGAGAGAGATGAGAGTAAGTCATTTACAAGGTCTTCCTGCGAAAAGTGCATTTAGCAAGAAATAAGTATTACCCTTTAGTGTCTAGCTCGACAATGCTCATTGTCTCCAACTGTTGGAGAATATGGCGAGCAATACCACCACTGCTCTTACAGAAATGTGGTGGTCGACTTCCATTTCTTTTGCTACCTCCATAGATTCTTCTGAAAGCACCAACACCAAGACCTCCTCTCAGGTAAATCTTTCTGGCCATAGAAGCTGAACCAAACAAGAGATCAACAACATTAACAAGGACTCTTATAAAACAGTACAAGAACCAAAACAAACGTAGAAAAAGATAAGATTTTTTTTACCAGCTCTAATATAGTACCAATCAGGGTCGTATGGAGCAAGCTCCTTCAAACGACCAGTCTTCACAATGTCTGTCCATAGAGGAAGCTCGATCTAAATCAGACAAAAGAAACAACTGTTATTACAGTGACTTTCCAATTAGCTTTCTATGATCACTCATCACTGACCCAAAGAATGATCATTTCTGTCTATATCAAATGAACGCATGGAGCTACAATATCAGAAGCTCCCTCAAACTCTTAATTCTTTCCTCTAAAACTCATTATCAAAGTCGAAAGAGAAGCACCAAGCCACTAACCTTTCCAGATCGCTTGAGGTGAGAAGCGTAAGCCTTCACGAAATCGTGAGGAGAAACATCTTTCACGGTTTTACCAGTCGCCATTGCACAGGAAATGAAGAACTCACCTGAATCACTCCGCAAAGCCAAAAGCCAAAATCCAAAAAGCTTTCAGTCATCAGTTAGAAAGTATATATATAGCTGAGCAATCAATTTTCAATTAGGGTTTTTTTCGGACCGGGTCTAATTCTAATCACATTGAACCCGAATCGACACGACCCGTATAACCCATTATGGGCCCAATAAATCTTTTTAAGCGGCTTATACGCATCGTTTCACTAAAAAGGAAATACGGAGCCGTTTCAATAGCTGCTTCTTACTTGTTCGCTCCTCATATCCCTAGAAGAGCTAGAGAAAGCTAATCAGCCACGGCGATGAAGCAGTTACTGACCTTGGCGCGACGGTCACAGATACGTTTATGTCTCAATCAAGCGATACGATTAGCCTCATCAGCCGTCGCTTACGTATCTCCGTTCACAACTCCGGCAACTCTTTCCCCTCCGCCGCCGCATATTCTGCCTTACGACAACGCGGCGGAGACTGTGAATTCAAAACTGAAGAAGCTTGAGAATCCGGATTCTAGATTCCTAAAATACGCATCTCCACACCCTAAACTTGCCTCGCACGATCATATATTGTCTGCTCCGGAGACTCGCGTTACCACTTTACCCAATGGACTTCGTGTCGCCACTGAGTCTAACCTCTCAGCTAAAACTGCAACCGTCGGTGTCTGGATTGACGCCGGATCGCGTTTTGAGTCGGATTCGACAAACGGTACGGCTCATTTTCTGGAGCATATGCTATTCAAAGGCACGGAGAGGCGCAGCAGGAGAGAATTGGAGGAAGAAATCGAGAACATTGGAGGTCAATTAAACGCATATACATCGAGGGAACATATCACATTGTACGCTAAGGTGTTGGATACGAATGTGAACCAGGCGTTGGATATATTAGCTGATGTATTTCAGAATTCTGAGTTTAGAGAGGCAAGAATCAACGAAGAACGAAACGTGATTTTGAGGGAAATGCAGGAGGTAATCAGTAATCTATTGTTGGATCACCAGGGTTTACTTGCTCGAAACACGAAGATTGTTTTTTTTTCTTTCGTGTTGAAAGGTTGAGGGAGAAATACAGGAAGTTGTGCTTGACCATTTGCATGCAACTGCTTTCCAACACACACCTCTGGGAAGAACTATCTTGGGACCTGCGGAGAATATCAAATCGATCACCAGGGTTGATCTTCAGAACTTTATAAAGAACCACTTTACAGCTCCCAGAACGGTAATGTTTGAAAACTATACAATTTTATGTTTTGCAATCAGTTGTGGTTTACTTTTCCCTTATTGATTCAATAAAAATACGTCTTTCAGGTTATTGCTGCTGCAGGAGCTGTCAAACACGAGGAGTTTGTTGAGCAAGTGAAGGAATCATTTACGAACTTGTCCTCTGATTCAACATCCACTTCTCAGTTGGTCGTCGAGGAACCTGCCAATTTTACAGGCGCTGAGGTAAAGATATAACCAATATTATTGATTTCTTTGTATTAAATCTCTCTAAATTTGTTTCTTTTGAAATTGTTGCCAGGTTCGTATTATTAATGATGACCTACCTCTGGCACAATTCGCCGTTGCGTTTGAGGGAGCATCTTCGACAGATCCGGATTCTGTTGCTCTTATGGTTATGCAAACTATGCTGGGATCATGGAATAAAAGTGTTGGTGGGGGCAAACACATGGGGTGAGAATTTGCTTCTGGTTAATATAGCTTGCTGTTGATTTCAGTTAATGTTTTCTGGATTTGATGTGATCAATATTATGTGTCTGAGCAGCTCTGAGCTGGCCCAGAAGGTTGCCATTAGTGAACTAGCTGAAAGCATAATGACATTCAACACCAACTATAAGGATACTGGTCTTTTTGGCATTTATGCCGTTGCTAAGGTGAACTTGGAATTCCATATCTATCCTCTAGCATAGTAGCATCTCTTACTTAACTGAACATTTTTTCCTAACAGAAATTTTTTGATTCTATGATGTTGGGTGTACATATCTTCTTACCTTTTTGGGTACATTTTCAGCCCGATTGCTTGGATGATCTAGCACATGCCATTACGTATGCGGTAACCAAGCTAGCTTACCAGGTCTCAGAAGATGATGTGACACGGGCACGGAATCAGGTAAAAGACCCATCTTTTGCAGCATTCTCTGGCTAATATCCCCTGTAATTGTGTACGTTTCTCTCTTTCATTAGTTTGTTGAAACTCTTAAAGGGTGTTTATGGAAGTTCAATAGCAAGTACTGATTGTTAGTGTTCTTCCTCCTATTGCAGCTGAAGTCTTCTTTATTGCTTAACATGAATGGAACTACCCCAGTTGCTGAAGATATAGGTCGTCAGGTATGCCATCCATCTTGTTTGACGTATAATAATAGCCAGATCTTGTAAACTTCTTGATTAGAGCTTATGAAATAAGTTTATTGGTGGAAAGAGAATAAACCCCAGCTATCCTTATGAAATAAGTTTTGGACCCTCCACCCTAAAGAAAATTGAAAAAAAATTTAAGGACCCAGTGCATTTGCTCCGGTGACACACCCTCAGAGCCGGCACTGGAGTTAGAGCTTAAGGCTTCTTTGATCCCCAAAAGAAACCGTAGGTTCTTAGTCGAGTTCTGGAATACTAGGTCTATCATTGTCAAATCTGATTAGGTATGCCCAACCACACAACCACACAACTAATTGTGTTTTTACAGCTGCTGACATATGGTCGTAGAATCCCAACTGCTGAGTTATTTGCAAGGATCGATGCTGTTGATGCCAGCACAGTGAAATATGTTGCCAACAAATACATCTATGACAAGGTTAGTTATCTGCATCTTTTAAAGAGATCTTGCCTTCAGGGTTAGCTTCGGCTAAAAAACGACAATGAAACCTGGACACTGATAATTTACTTTGGGACTTTGTAGGACATGGCTATCTCAGCCATTGGTCCAATCCAAGAATTACCAGACTACAACTGGTTCAGACGCAGAACTTACTGGAACCGCTACTGAGCTGCCTCGCTTACCTGCCCCTGATTATTTTTCACACACCTTCTTCTCCTCTTCACACTCTTAGTTATTATCTCTGAAACATTCATTCAAACAAGTATCACAGAATGCTCCTGCGTAAGCATCCCATGGGGAAATTCCATGGGCATAGCAGAAGCAGGTGATGATAGATTACATCATGATTTCTCCAATCGGCTGGTAAATTAGGTGTAGTTTTTTTTTTTTTTTTATAGTATAACTTCTAAGATAAGTGTAGTTTAGTCTTAATTAACATTTTTTGGCTACTTATAGTTATAAAGATAATATATTTTTTTGACCAGAAGCCACAGACAACTTTAGCTGAGTAAAAAAACTCATTGTCTTGTCTTCAATTAAACCCTACCTATCTGCATTTACTGAAGTGACCAAGTATAAAATATGTTAAAGTTTAACTGGATATTATTGTTGAGTTATAAATCTTGCAGACATTGTGACCAAAGATTGGATCAAAAGACTGTTGGATTCATGAAATGAATGCAGAATAGATGGAAGCAACCGCTCAAAGACTGTTCCGGAGGTTCAAAGATTGTTCCGGAGATTAGACCAGTAACACATCAATGAGGGTATAGCTGAACACACATATTTATATAGCACACACTTATCTATATTGGTATATAATACTATAACTATAAGTCATAGAAACACAATGACATGACACGATTGAACTGAAAAGAAGACAAAATGAGCGTTGTCTAACAAAACACTTGACAGGTTTGGTGAAGTTAGTTAATAAAAGAGTTGGGTTTCTTCGTAAGCATCGAAATCAGATTCCTTTACCAAAAAAAAAGACATATCACTCTCTCTCCTTCCTACTTCCTCGGTTTCATCGTCCACTGCATTTCATCTGTCTCAACAATGGCGTCATTGTCGGTACCTTGCGCCAAGATCTGTGCCCTGAACAGGCGGGTCGGATCTCTTCCTGGAATCTCGACTCAACGATTGCAGCCGCAACCCAATGGCATCTCCTTTCCCTCCCATGTTTCTCAGGTTTCTTCTCTCTCTCTGTGTCTCTCGCATATGAATGATCCTGTAAACAAGTGTGACCCTTTACGAAAATATTGGCCTTTGTCTGTGCGTGTTGGGTAATAATGGAACTTACTTTACAAAGGTGATCGAGCTGCTGACTGTTTGAATTTAGTATACATTGGTTCATATTTCTCTCTTTTATTCGTCATCTACAGAATCAGTCTACATTCTGGAGGTTGCGTGCAACAACCAATGAGGTAGAGCTTGCATGTTTTTTTTACCAACAATTAAACGTTAGTAGTACGATTGTAACCTTCTTCATCTATTTCGACTTTACCAAGGTTGTTTCTAACTCTACTCCAATGACTAATGGTGGGTATATGAACGGAAAAGTGAAAACCAATGATCCCGAACCCGCCGAGCTCTCTGAATTTATGACTAAAGTCTCAGGTCTTCTTAAGTAAGTCCAAAATCCAATGAATCCCTTACTATCCTTTAGTTTAGTTTCTTTCGATCAAAGCACTAAACATTTTGATCTTATTAAGGCTTGTGGATTCCAAAGACATAGTGGAACTTGAACTGAAGCAACTCGACTGTGAGATCGTTATTCGAAAGAAGGAAGCTTTACAGCAAGCTGTACCACCAGCTCCAGTTTATCACTCGATGCCTCCTCCAATGACAGACCTTTCAATGCCTCCAGCTCAACCAGTGGCTCCTCCTCCTTCTCCGACTCCTTCCTCAACCCCTGCAACAGCAAAACCAACAACCGCCCCATCCTCATCTCATCCTCCACTCAAGAGTCCTATGGCTGGTACTTTCTACAGATCTCCTGGACCTGGTGAACCACCTTTTGTCAAGGTACAACAGGATGCACAAATAAAACCTAACAAATCTTTGGTTGTTGGATGAAGTCGAATCAAAGTTTTTGATAGTTCTTTGTCCATATAAATCATCGAGTGAAAGTCACTACATTTTAAGTTGATGTGGTTTTTTTGTTTGTTTGCACATTGCAGGTTGGAGACAAGGTGCAGAAAGGTCAAGTTGTTTGCATTATCGAAGCTATGAAACTGATGAACGAGATTGAGGTCTGATATTCTTTATAACATTACGATAGCGTGCAATGGAACTTTGCGAATTTTGATGATCCTTTCAATATCTATGTGTTTATATATGTTTGTGTGATCAATTATCAATTATTTGCGAGCTCTCAAAGTCTTTAACCTAAGAAATGGTGTCTTGAAAATAGGCTGAGAAGTCAGGAACCATCACTGAATTACTGGCTGAAGATGGAAAACCAGTTAGCATTGACACGGTATCGATCTCATAATCTCTCGCTCTCTGTTTTATTTCCGGTTTTCTTATTTGAACTGATTTTCAGATCATTAACTTATGGTTACTTGTACAACAAACTATGCAGCCTCTGTTTGTCATCCTACCTTAAATCGAAGAAGTATCCTTTTAGCTGTTTTTAAACATCTTCAAAGTCTCGGTTTAGCTATACCGACGTGCTGAAAATCATCACGTAAATTGTTCAGCTCAGGTTGGTTTGGTACTTTGGTTTGGTTTCGGGTTTCTACTCTTCCTTCACTAGCTGACATTTTATATTTTTGGGATTTCACGTATCGGTATTATGCATGTCTTTTTAGAATAAATTTGACAAAACGTCATAGTTTGGTGTATCAACTATGTTTAGATCAAGAAATGTGGTTTCTTTTCTTAATATATATCAACAAATGTGTTGTTCGGATAATAATATTATAGAAAAATAATCTAAAAGAAAAAAAATTGGTAACTTCACTACTACTCATGTAATTATATATAAAAACTATATATATGTATATATATATATATATATATATGCTAAATTTAATTATAAAAACATATATACAAGCTAACGAGATAATAACCGATAATTCTTGTTAATGTACTTTTTAAGTTAGTATAAATTCAGGCAATTATTTCCAAATTAAGAAAAAAAATCTAGCTTAACTTTGCAGTTAAAAATACTTTATAAATGGAAAAAATTAGCTTACAGCTAGACTGATACTTTTGAAAATTAACGACCAATTTCATTACTTTTGACCTGTTTTTTTTTAATTTATTTTGTTCAAATTTTTTTACCAAGAAAGACAATTTTAGGCCGCGTTACTGTGTTACAGCGTTAGTGTGTATCTAGCCCATTAAAAGCCCGATTAATATGGGCTAAACAACGGCTGACTAGCATCCCCGCGCCATATAAGCGTATACGAAAACCACTCGCACTGTAAGCGCGTCTAGCGCGTGTCGCCATATCTTCCAGGTTATAGACCACAGATTTACGCAGTTTTGGCCTATATCCGAAAATTGAAACGACTAAGGCGCGTGAAAGGTCTTTTGAGCTCATTTTCTGTCGACGAGCTTGCACTATATTATTTTAAATGAACGAAGACATTAGAAATTTGGGAAGTCTACAAATTGTACAAGATGAGCAACGTTTATTATTTGGAAATAGTGTATTTCATTTTATATACTATTTTTAGACTAGTTCCAAAATTTCTAAAATTTGCACTGATCTTAATTATTTTAAATTAGCGTATCTTATATTACATTAGCAAAATTTTTTTTCTTGATTGCCCTGCTTGGGATATGAGATTATGAGCGCTTTGTTTAGAAAAAAAAAGAAGAAACCATTCTAGTAAAGGAAAAAATAACATAGGGCAGAGAAACTGATACACAAGAGCATCTGTAACAGGATAATCATATATCCTGGTTCTGTTAAACCAAACTCTCAATTCTTAATTATCTTATTTCCGGTTTAGTTACTTTATTCCAGTAAACCAAGTCTAGTGTGTTTAGATCGAGTATATGTAGGCCTTTGGCCATCTTTGAGAAACTTAGGGGGTGTTATTAGTTTGTTAATTTGTAAATCCATATAAAATTTGAAAATTTCTATTAATTATGAAATCAAGATATATGGATTTTGAAATAACATGTGTTTACCCATGGATTTGAATCCTTCTATTTTTCTCTTTCAATTCCATTCAATTCCATTTAAAACATAATTTGGATTCTCAAATCCAAAAACAAATGACTAAACGAATAACATAAGATTTTAACTAGTATTTATAAATCATAGAATCAATAACACATGAATTTAATTAGGATTTTAAAATCAATGATTGAATAACAAATGATTTTTGTTTGGATTTCTAATTCCATATAAATCTATGAACCAATAACCCCTCCTTAATCAAAAAACACAAATTATCTTCTTCAATCTCCTTATTTCTATCGATCATCATCATCTTCCATAACACCAAATCTTAGATCTTCGTGGTGATCCTTCACCTTCTGGACTTTGATTTGCCCTTATCTCGTGCTCTCGGTGAGTGCTGATTCGGGATTTATCATACCGTTACAGCATCATTTTACCAAACAAGGCGATCAAAACAGATAACCAAACATAATCATTTAAAGACAATAGGATCAAGAGAAACAAAAAAAAACAGAAACATATAGAATAAGAATAAGTCAAATATCATCTAAAGATAAAATTGACCAAACTACACCTTCCTTTGATTTTTCTTTTCCAAACAAAAAGATTTTAACTTTTCAATTCGTTCGTGTCTTCCTAGTTTAGTAAGAAATCGTACTGTACATTGGTTAAGAGCCTAAAAACAGCGGTTTTGATAATCTTTTAGTGCCGCTTTATATACAGTAATCTAATAACACGAGCAAGTCGTTCTTTTACCTTCTGTTGCTACTTCTGGTGCTGTAATTCAGTCTCCGAGCAGCTCCTCTTCCTCCTCCTCCATGCCATCCTCTGTCATCATCGTCGTCATCATCATCATCTTCGTTGTAGGCCACTGGTTTTTTAGCAGATCTTGAAGTTTTTCTTGGCGTTGGGCGTTTTCTCTTGACGTTTGATGAATAGATGGTGAAGTCAACCGTATCTTCTCTCATTGCGTTCTTAAACTCCTGCAAAACAAAATAGATGAAGAAAATGATGAATTCTTTGCCCAGGGATTTAAATTTTACTAGTGAACAAAAAGGCTTTGGGGTTTTGACCTGATATCTCTGAACTAAGTCTTGATATGTTGAAGGTAAGTCAGTGCGAGTTTCACTGAGGTCAAAGGCAACGCTTTGTCTGGACAGAGGATCTCCTGGCTTCAATGGTTCCGTTGGAGAATAGGCCTGAGATATTTTGTTTCCAAACACCAATCATATTTTCGTGAACAAAGTTAACGAAAAAGAAAAAGAAGTGGAAAGAAAGAATCGTACTTGGCACCGGTCATCATTTAAGCTATATGTGACTTTTAAGTATCTCTTGAGCTTCAAAAGAAGTTGTATAGCTATAGCTGCTGCGCAATCAACCTGAAATGGTACCAAAAGAAAGACTGGCATGAGAAGAACACGCTATATATAACACTAACGATGATATAAAGAATGCTTAATTTTGATAAACCAACCATACGTAAAACTGAACCAATCTGCCCTGACCTGACCCAAAAAGCCAAACACAATTCAATTATTGTAAGGTTTGTAATTATTCTATATACGGAGAACCAAAACTAATCTTTAGATAAAGGAAACACCAAACTAAAACATTGTTTTAAGAAAATTGAGTAATTTTATTAAAACCAAACCAAAACTGAACTGACCCGAATTTTTACCAAACCTCTCAATGCAAGATTCGGGTTACATTAGTTATCTTCCTAGACCGAAAAAGTGAAAATTTGGAACAAAGAGAAACCCGATTTTCACACCCTAAGCATCACAAGAGAAAAAGTTAAGAAGACTACCTTAATTTTCTGCAGATCATCGGTGGATAATTCAGGAGGATCAGATGAGGTCATTTTGTGAACATCTGCTTTCCCATTATGGACTTGATATGAAGTGAACTGATCCCTTGAATCTTGGTATACTGCACCATTGAGGTCAATTGGAGTTGGATGGGCATAGGAATTCCAATGTGTTGGTTCTTCTTGGATTCTTGTGTTTAGATCCATCATGTGCATATGTCCGGGAATCGGACCTTGTTGGTACGTTCCATTTCCATGCTGAGTCTTTGCGGACTCTTTATGTAACAAAGCCTTCAAATTTGACTCAACTGCACCAGCCCGAATTTGCATAACTCGGTTTATGGAATATACAAGATAGAGTGGCTCATCAGGTGATGTGAATGGAAGTAAAGCAAGGGTTTCAGTGCAATACCTGTAAAGAGAAACAGTAAAGTTAGTGTTTATTTTACCACAGAGAGAATGTGAAATTTTTTGTAGAGCGAATACTCACTTCATAAAGGATATTACTGAGCCACTCCAGGTTGGATTATCAAACTTGCGAACAATTGAAGTCATAAATTTGTTTCGAGAAACCCTGTTTCCACGGATAAGCTTGTAGATCCTAGAGACTCCAAGTCTAGCTTGTGTGAGAGTACTACTAGTATGATCATTTTTGCCCGACATGTTTGTTGAACCCTTTTGCTGAAGACTTTGATTTGGTTCTGAAGTGACCTGGCTGATGGATTGCATGAAGATAAACGACATTTGAAGTCCGTCACCGAGACGGCTCTCAAAAAAAGCCGGATATCTGATGAAAATTTCAAAGTCTGTTAGTGTGCTCATACATGATTACCGTATAATGTAAAATTTTGTGAAATCCAATCAGAGGATTTACTTCTCATGCATATTCATTAGTAAATGATGGGCCAGCTTTTGGTTGGCCTCTTGAGGATCCGTCTCGAGGGCAATCAAATAAGGGACACACGTAATAGGATGAACTAGGCCTTGACGTAGTACAACTTCCACTATCTGCGAAATAGAATACCTCTCAATAATTCAGACAAGAGAAAAGTCAGAAGCAAAAATTATTATTGGAAAAAAGGGCGAACCTTGAGAGCAGTCTGGCGAATTTGATCATCGAAGTCTAAGCATCTACCTAATATCTTATCCCAATACAACTGCACAATGCCTCCGCAAATGTTGGTGTCACCTGCACCAGCGGCCACAGGTACAGTATGGCCACCTTGCTCAATTGGGTTAACCACGTTATCACTGGCTTTCTCGGATCCCAATTGTTTTTCCGCATCAAGAAGGTATTCATAGATGTTTTGTAATGCTTGCATCTGGATCATGAGCATTAAAAAAGGATGCAATCATATGTAAGCGTAAAACAAAACATGTACACCATATAAATAGAAAACGTACATAGATGGGTGATATTACCTTCATACGCCCATTTGCTTCATCTGCTAATGTAGTCTCGATTATCTTTCCAATGTCTTCTTCCAACATATACTCAGGTCGTGCAATTAGGATGAATCCTAAAGCCTACAGGAAATTTGGGAACACCGTTATTCTAGCATATCGCAATATCGAGAATGTGCAACAGCTAGCACTGTAAGCACCATACCTGCAGCGACCTGACTTTCAAAGCAATATCTTCCGTTCGGAGATGTCGTTTAAACAAATTGAGACAGCCAGAGAGGTTGAAATTCTTGCCACCTGAGGTGCTAATAAGAGAATTTCCATGGCGAATAAGCAAGCCAAGACAAAAAAGGGACCGCCCAGCAATCTGAAATAGACAGAATATTTTCACCATTAAGCTCCAAACTAATCCGTTGCTGGATTCATCTTGTAAAGAATAACAATTATCCCAACTCAGTCAGTACTAAGTCAAATGAGATATATGTGAATATTGAATATTACTCTCAGTAGGCAGTAAAATCGCAATGAAGAGCAGTGTTAGTAGAGAATACTGATCTTCTAAGCA